CTTTGTTTTTCTAGAGAATTGTTTATCTGATTTGTTTTTAATTGTTTGTAGTCTTATAGGTATTGTTTTTAAATTAGGATTTGTTAGAATACTACTTGTTTTATTTTAATTTTTTACATTCATTACTATACGTTACTCGTATAATCAAAGCTGATTTTGTACTTGAATCCTATAATTTCTCATTGGTGATAATTAAATTACGACAAGGTTATTAAATTATTATTTTATTTACCAAAACTTATCTTCATGACTATATACTATATATTTTTTTAATAAAATCTGATAAGTATTACTTTTATCTTTTATTATCTGAAAAAATGTATTCATGTATATTACACATACTGTGACATTTGGAATTAACTGGAATAAACATCAATTGTTTTATTAAACAAGAGCCCTTTCGTGTTAGATACTCTAAAACGCTACTAGACAAGAATCTCACTGACATCCCGAAAATGTTGATTCATCGGACACAAAATATTGTCACCAAACTTATAAAATGTTTTTACGAAGAAATCATTGAAAATGAACGGCTAATAACTGTATTACCGGACAGATGTTCATTGTTTTTCGTGATCCGGTTAGGTAATTTTATTATAATTATATTTATACTTATATGAGGTCATTATTAATTATAATTAAACTAAAAGATATTTTCTTAATCTCAAGTCATGAGTCAAGAAACAAAACAAAATATAATAAACCTTTGTATCGTACTCACATATATTTACGTGTTTTATTCCATTAAAAGTCTTAAAATATTATCGTTTATACATAATGTTAATATTAATGTTTGTTCACTATCTTTATAAAGATATAAATTTTTTTTTTCTCATATAAAAATAGTATTTATATTTTTAATATTAAAAATAACTGATAGTTATTAGTTAAAAATGTAAATACATTTTAAAATATATGCACAATGGAATTTAATAAATTATTGTTGCATAAACCCTATATCTACTATATTACCAAGCAATTATCTTAATTAATCTTAATTAATCTTAATCTTTTATCTGCTCGCTACGAATGTCTCCATCTACGATAAACAATACAATAGAAATATGATAATCAATTGATTAATAACAATAATTCTTCAATCCCCTTAAAAAAAAGTTCGATTTTTAAAATGTAATTAAAAACATATTTTTGATTACGAAATGTCATTCATACATAATAATATTAACGATTTTAAACTTTAGTACACCAAAAAAGATAAAATTACCAAGGTTGATAAAATAAGTTTCATAATTTAAGTACAGTGAATAACGTTAGGATAATGTGATCAGTTATCACTGTTGGGAAATAGAATCAACTATTAATTTTACTGGCTTTTGTTAGATATATTCATAATTCTTTATATGTACCTATTCAAAATAAAATTGTGTCAATAGGTTTTTTAATTTAGGAAAAAATTGTCATTATAATCATACTTAGTAGCTCATTTTTCTGAAAAGTATTTTATTTATAAGAACCCATCTATTTTTATATAAAATAACATTATTAAACATTAAATTATAATCAACATAAAATTCTAGTTCATTTAAACTGAATGTTGAAGGCGGATAAAGATATGATTGTATTGTGCACCCCTAATACTAAACGACTTGTATGTGTGTGATGTAATAATTATTTAAAATTATAATTATAAAGTTAGTATATTAAATAATTTAAAAGCTCAGTTATTCTAGTCTGCCTGCTACAGGTTTGAACTATCATTAAATGATGTATTGAATTGTTTAGTATTATATTTGTAATTGAATAGTGTATATTTTTATTAATGGTTCATGTTTTTGTTATGATCACTAAGTACAATATGGTAAATTGGTAAATATGAATTCAATGACAAATAAAATATTTATATTTTCATTTTATCTAACTATGGATTAATTTTTGTAGACTGACTTAGATTGATAATATTAATATTAGTAGGGCGAGGATTTTTATGTAATAAAAAATTCTAAATATGTAAATATTTATGTTCTTATTTTTGCTAAAATATGTATTAAAAAACGTAAAATATTTAACAAAAAAATCGGTATTTTACATTAATTTTTAATTATTAATTAATAATTATTCATTTAATCATCTTCATTGTTGTCTTCTTCGAAACAATTGGATACGACGTACATTTAAAGATTTTAAAATTTTAATGAACGCAGTTAGATTTCAAAGTCAACTCATAGCGACTGAGGGTGCATTTAACGTCGACCGAGGTTAATGGGGCATATTTCATACTACATATGTCGGATGGTGTTACTTCAATATAATTTGACATATTTTCATTTTTATTAATAAGATTCTCTAATAATTTAAATTTTTTTGTAAACCACCATATTACCCAGTACATAGTTTAATTAATTTTTATTATAACTCCAAAATCTCCTTGAACTTAATTTCATTGAATTTCTGCATTTTCCACTATCCCGAGACTCTAAATTATTGTTAGATTTAATGTTTCTATTTTTTTTTTTTTTATTATTTTAACCAAGAAAAAAAGTTGTGGTAATATATGCTAAATTATTTTGCAAATTATTATTTTACATAATATCAGAAGTAATAGAAATTCTAGTATCTGAATTAAGATTTGAAATATTTTCTTTGATTTAATTCCAATATAATAATTGTAAATATAATAAAAACTGTATTTAAATGGTATGAAAATGTGAAATATTTATAAAATATGTAAATATTGATGAAATATTTAAAAATATGTATTTACAACAATATATGTGAAAATATGAAAATTAAAAAAGTCTCATATTATTCAGAGTGTTATGAAACGTGCTTATTTTTAATAGGAATTAAGAAATTCACATTCAATAAAATTATGTAATTACATAAAAATCCGAGCCCTAATTATTAGGATATGGATAATACTTTGATGGCGTCTTCTTTGATCAGGCATTTTTTTTAAAATATATATATTTATATTTTCATATATATTTTCATATTATGTCTTCTAATCAAAGTATTTTTGCAACAAATGAGATTCAAACTTATGCGATTAGTTACAAGGCACAGAAATAAAATATTACATATTAATTTATATGGTTTGTTTAAAACAAAATGTAAGACTTTATATCCGTCTACTCTTATGTAAGTATACTTTTGTACATATTGACACTGAACTCCCTAAACGGACTGATATTTTTTGAGTTCGTACTTATTTATTTTACGGTATAAGATATCATTAATTTTATTATATAAAAAATAAAACAAATCACTATTTATATTAATTTAATATAATATTAAATAATAATATAATATATTATATTATAATATTTAATATTAATTTACATTTTGCATCTATGTTTAATTAATGTAACAGAATTCATTAAATACGGGCACATGGATAGGAATAATAATGTTATATTCAAACACCTTATAGATGAGTTACATTTGTTGAGAGATCACGGTATTGATATTGAAATTAATAGTAAATTTATAGGTAATTAAATTTGAACTAGGCCTACTGTTAGGTGATAATCTTGCTTTACATGGTATTATGTGATTCGTTGAAAGTTTTTCGTCAAACTATCCTTGTCCAATATGCAAGGTTAATAAACAATTGACGAGGAAGCAATGTTATATTGATGAAAAACTGATGAGGCATGATATCCTTAAGAATAGGGGGTCTTAAGAACAGGCTCTCTACATCAGAAATTATGTCATTAGTTAGGTATTTTGGTTTACTTGTAGGATATTTCGTTCCTCAGAATAAACCAGTAATTATATATTACTTTGAAAAATATTAGATATTTTTATTTCCATATCGTTCCAAAAAGAATGTTCAAAGTTGCTGCAAACTGAACATACTTGAGTTATACTTTAAGTACATTAGCAATAATTTAAAACCAAAATATCATTACTTATTGCATTACCGTACACAATGATGACGAAATTTGACCCTTTAATTTATATATGGTCAGTACGGTATGAGGCTAACATTGTTTATCAAAAATGTCGGCTAATAATTCAAGTAACAGACGCAATATATGCAAGACACTTGCTATTAAACATCAATTATTTATTTTTAAAATGTACCATTGGTAAAAATATTGAATTTGGCCTTCTTCAGTCAGTTGTTTTCATTGATAATGTTTTTATATTACATAATGTACTATACGTATCAAAACCCTGTAATAGAAGATAAGCAAATTTGAAATTAACAGGTAATTAATAACAATTTTAATGAACACTAACCAAAATACTTTTGTTTTCTCACTCGGTGAGAGAAAAAAAACTGTATACAAATCGAACACCGACGCACAAGATAATTCTATACAGCGTGCGCGGTACCACGCGATACCATGCACATGTATTGAACACATTTACATCATTACCGATAATACCACACTCGCGCGTACCACGGTCGCGACACACTTACCAGTTGGTTCGCAGCGAATCGGTTGGGAACCACTGACATAGCGAATAGAAATAAGCAAAAAATATATGCGACCGTCATCGGGATTCGATTAATTAATAACGATCGCGGGTCGTCGGACGGTGATCACCTTCGCGTAACGACGGTGTTGCGCGCAACGTTGTACAAGAGTAGAACGGCGGCGAAACAACGCGTCGACCGCGTGCACCGCAATAACTGTTGTGAGATAATACGTGGCCGGGCCGAGTTTTCACGCTCACCGCCTCGGTACGGGGCTTGCACGGTAAGTGAGCGCGCGGAAAACTCGGCGAAAGACCGATCTCGCGGTCGTAACGCGTTTACGATTTCGTCGCGAGAAAGTGAAATAATTTTCATCACCATCACCAAAATGATCATGATCATCGTCACGATTGTATATGTTTATTATGCGGACGTTATAAAAACAAATTATTGAACGTTGTCTGCTTCGCATATTATGCGAGTTACGCAATCGGCGACGGCGGCATGATGCAACGCGGTGCGGTGGCGGGAAAGGAATGGGCGGTGCGGCTTCCACCGAAAACGGCACATGTTGTCGGCCAGTACCGTCGTCGTCCAAGTCGTCAGTCGTCGTTCGTTTCCATTCGTGGGCCAACAGTCGTCACCGAACGTTCCAGTCGAAAACGTGAGCTACACGCGTGCACACAACTTTCTCCGACCACTTGTGCTCACGGACCGCCGCGATCGGAACCAGTTACCGCACGCGCACGTTTTTCCCGTTTCGTTCACTCGTCAACGCAACCCAACCGTCGTGACCCCTACCGCGATAATAACGAAACGAGAGTCTCGTTCGCGTCCAGTTTTGCATCTGCGTGCGCGACTTCTTCCACGCGGACAGACGTGCAGCGGTCCTATCGGCCTTGAACGGAAACGGCATTGACAGTGCTCGCGCCAACCGCGGTCTTATTGGCGAGTAGAAATAATAATAACAATAAAAAACAAAACGAACACCGATCAAACTCGTCGCGGCGCGCTCGACCTCGTTAATATTCAGTTTGCGGTGGACGACAGCTCGGCGCTGAAGCGCATTCGAAATTGCGATTCGTTTAACGTTATCGCATTGCCGCGCGGACCGTACACCGTTACAGACGTTAGTGTCGCATTCGATCGCGATCACGGGCAGACAGGAGGAGCGGAAAACGTCGTCGTCAACGGAACGCCGAACGAGATGCCGCAGCTGATACTGGCCAATGGTGAGCAATACGTCGACGCGCCTGCGGTGCGCGACGACCACGAGCCCGACGGCATCGACGTCAACTTCCCGGACGTACTGGCCGACCTGGACGTGGAAACGTTGCCCGACGACGTGGTCGAGTATGCCCGCGTCCGGCTCGGCGAGACCGAAGAGTCCCGGACCAAGCTGTTGGCCGAGCTCGAAGACATGATCTACGGTGAGTGCATTCATCACCTTAGAGTGTCGAGTTATGTCCGAAACCGTACGTACTCGCTTTTACCCGGGCGAACCGTACTTGGTTGCACGCGACGGGATCTGCACGAACCCGTAGACCGCCTGCGCCGGCTCGCGAACCGCGGACCCTTGCGTGACATCCTTGACGTCGACCTGTGTTTCCTTCATCGCCGTTTACATTGAATGGTATTCGGAACACCGGACAATCACGTGTGACAATGTGCGGCACGTTTTTAAAACAACACTCGCTATACGTTTGAATACATGTAACAGTTCAATTGTCACCCGCATACATCTTTTGCGGTACTTTAGCAAGACTGCGACTGTTGCTAGACTACGTCGTCATTCGGACAGATCTACAAGTTTTATTGCATCAAATTATCTATTATAAAAAAAAAAAAAACATTAAAATAATAAAATAATAATAATTAAAGAACCAACAGCCAAACAAATTGTAAAAGTTCAACGTGCTTGATAACGTTTTCACCTGTATTTCTGTATACGGTACACGGACATTGGATCTGTACAATATAATAATCGTATTGTTATGTTTCATTATTAAGTCTTTGAAAATAATGACTTCAATCTTCTTAGATATATTTTTTATTAATATGGTTACATGTAATATTGTATTATGGGTCCAATAATTCTGTACTGATTTGAAATTATTAAAATCCATGCACATGATGTATAGGTTCTCAAAGTTACAATTGCTTCAGATCGGTCCGAATGATGTTGTTGCTCGGAACTAATTTTATGTCCGGGTTCAACCCGAAATAAGTTTTTAAATAATATTATTACATTTTGTTTGAATAATGTAAACATTTGAATTTTTAATCCACTATATTTTTTTCTTAACTTATATAAATATATATAACAGGACCGTATTGAGGTCTGGTGGTGGTGCTTCTGGCGAATCACTGTATTTGCGTCCCCTCCCCAAATGGTAAATTTGAATTTTTCTTACAAAAAAATCATTTGAGACATATAAAACATATATAAAAACAGTATTTATTGTATTATATTAGTAATTATTATCTTGTATACTGTACGAGTACAAGGTAATAATTACTAATAAACTTTAATAACTATTTGTATTATTATAAAATATAAACTGATTGTAATTTAATTTAATTTAATTACATTTTTTATTTTAATCAATACATTATAAAAGCATGTAATTTTCTTCAAATGTTTTTGTTTTACAATTGTGTTAGATGATTTTAAATTTATTTAATATTGTATTACAATAATACTTACTTTTATAGAGGCAAATTTATTAAATGAAATTATTTTAACTATATCTTTTTTATACTTCGTGAAAAATATTATATAAGTAGTGTTGAAATTTGCGCTCCTCTTAGAATTGCGCCCTTAGTTCATGCCCTATTACCACATCCGGATTAATACTATCATAGGCCCTAGGCCTCTAGTCCTTGCAGGGCCGTTGTCCAGTATTCAAATAGTTAAAAAGCCTTCTCTTTGGGAGAGGAAGTGTTAAATCTCATGCAGTGTTAAGCTTTTAAAAACAATAATATTTACAACATAAAAATCAAATCTAAACTTTTATGAGTATATGATAACTATTATAAACTTTTATACAATAAAAGTTTTAATAAATATCAAAAAAAATTAATTTTAATTCAAAAAATATATAATATTAATTGTCAAAAACCATAAAAAATATTTTTTTTTTACCAATACTCCCACTCCTTTTCTGCTGTCCAATTATACTATTCTGCAAAGCTCTAACCTGATCAAACAAATATATGAATTTGTAAACTCGAATGTGTATTCATGATTTAAAAATATAACACTTAATAATACCTCTTTTTCTATCGGAATCTTTAAAATGCTGTGCGGTGGTCAAGTGATAACCAATAAGTAGACTTTGAATTTTATGTTAGTAAAAATACTATTACAGTTGTTGCTTCTAGATCATTTACATTTCTATATAAATGCAGCTTACATTTAAATAATTAATTTTTTGCAATCAAATATTTTCACCGAACAAACATATGCTATTAATTGGTTTTTATATTTTACTTATGTCCTCGATAATTTAATTACAAATAATTTTTTTCATAACTTGTAAATTTGTATGGTTTTTTTTTTTTTTTTTTGATACAAAGATTTAACAAGGTTTACCGGAACTAACCTTAAAATTACTTCCTGTTAAGTAATATTTATTATGTACAGCTAAGTAGATATGTATTGAATGGACAATAATATATTGTGTAGCATTAACAAGCATGGCAGTTTCGTTATATCGTATATCATACAAAAACACAAGTCCATTATTACAACAATAATTAATGGCTTTATTTTCATTAATAAATGTATAACAGAATTGTATATACATCACATTATTTATCAAATTACTTTAAGCTTATTCATATTAAAGGCATTAAAACGATATTGTTCTATCAATATTCAGAATATTCTTTGAAATTATTCGACAATGTAAATCTAATTATTGGAAAAGAAAGTAATTTTCAAAAACATTAGTCAAATTTCATTTCACATTTTAGCACTTTTATTGAATTCAATAAAAATAATAATCAATAAAAACATTTTTGGATTGTATTTTCGTTTCGATGTATATATGCAATGGACAACTCTAAACGTTAGTATTAACATCTCAACAAATGAAGTATAATAACCATATTTATATATTTTACATTTTAAACTGAACAAATATTTCATAGATTAATTAATATAGTTAAAAAAAATTGTTCTTGACCATTCATTCTCTTATGCAAACATTTTTGTCGGTTTCCTATTAATCGGCTTCCGGTCGGTAATAATAATGATTATACATCTAATTGCAATAATTTCAACATTTATCAGTTTTTGTGATGTTTATAAAAAATATGATTTATTTTTGAAAATTCAACTGTATAAAATAAACTTTAAAAATTCAATATTATAATTTTTTTTGTACTCAATTCCATCATATAATGTTCGCTTCCAAACCAACACATTAGGTATCATATGAACGTATCAAAATATATTAAAAACTAATTAATGTATTTACTTTATAAAACTTTTCCATGGTTTTATATGGATGCCTAAAGCTCTATATTATATTTACATAAATTAAGTCTGGGAGTTTGAAAAAAATATATCCATGATTACTTTTTGTTTATTACGTCTATTTTTATAAAGAAACTTGTACCTAATTATAATTTTTTAACAGTCATGGTTGAAGTTTGCTGTTTGAAAGAAAAAAACATTATTCTAAGGTTAATAAATTTTAAAATAAGGCTAATTCATTTTGTCATGTACTATACTTAAATCTTGAATTCAATGATTAAGCAATGTCCACCTTTATCGATAGTTAATTGAGTACTTATTGTTAATTTGTTTTGATTATTACAGAAAAAGGTGATGTTACACCACATAGAATGGACGAAAAGTTTCTACTACGATTTTTAAGAGCTCGGCATTTCAAACTTCATGCTACGTACAAACTAGTAAGTTACATTTAAAATATTAAATCCCTATTGGAAAATTAATAATATAACATACGGGTTATGCTATATACTGCAATGGTTAAAATGAACCTTGTCAATGATTTGTCTCTGTATTTGTAAAATATTCCATGTATATAATTTAAAGTTTTAACAATATCATCATTTTAAATAAAAAAAAAAAAAAAATTAAATTATAGTCATAATAGGTATCATCATGGTAGGAATTCCATTCGTCAATTGAATCATGTAGTAATTTGAGTACCTACCGATCACTCGCAAGCGTGTCCAATGGAATTTAATGCTATAAAAAAAAATAATACTATTTTAATTTCACATTTATTCTCATTTCTTACCTTTGGCATATACATGCACTTTTGCAGCAAATACGTCAAAAAAAATAATAAATTGTATGGGTGAGTATAATCTGCTTTCAATACTAGTGCGTAACGAATGGAAAGAATCGTTACGGTTTCGCCATATTCGACATGTCAAATTCATTCTAATCACATCTGTATATGATATTAAATTGAATTATTAACGGATATTATTTTTATAAATATATTGGTGAAATTCGTGTATGGCAATGCATAACATATACGTAGGTTGCGTTTTATAACGATTTTCGAGGAATAAAAAAAATTGTTACGTCAAAATAATTCCTGGCGGTTTTGCTTTATTTCCGTTTACCACGTGTATTGATTCGTTTGGTACTACGAACAACAATTTGGAATCTAAATAATAATGTATTCATCAATAATAACGGATAAGAGGCCATTTTAAGTACACTTTTTTCATTCCAATCAAAATAAGAACAAGATAGGAAAATTATATGGAGTACGTTTTGTATTATTATATTCGTAATCAAAGTTTCGTTTCAAGGAGAACCACAAACAACGAGAAATGGCGCGCAGACAAGACGACCTAATTGATACAATTTTCGTTGGTTTATTTTTTTATCATCGTATTCTAAGATCAAAAGAAGGTATCTATTACAATACTAAAGTAAGAAAAAACTCCGAATAATAATTTATGTTTAAAAAGAGCACATTACTAGATCCAAATTTGGCCAACTTATTATTATTCCGGTAACGGATTTGTACGTAACCTTTTATTTAAAAAAAAATAAAAAAATAAGTGCCCAAGTACGACAACTAACAATTCAAACTTCCTACCCGTTCTTCTAGTTTTTATTCAAAACAATATGATTATGACAACTGTTAATTGGACTAAAATACTATTATACTTAGTATATATTTATATACGCAAACATTTAGAATGGAGTTCAGAACGCCCGATGAGTTCATAAAAAGAACTGTTATGAGGGTTAAAATACATAAAAAATAATCGACGAAGATAACGGAATTTATAGGAAAATATTAAAATATCTTGAAACGATTTCTCGTATGCACTCGTAAATGGTATTTTTTGTGATATCGAATTATTCGTTTGAAAGGAATATAATGATATAATGATATGTGTACGAAATTGTTTATAAATATCAGCCACCCGTGTTCACGTTACGCAAGATTTTAAATTACATCGTAGAGAATAAAATAATTGACATTGATCGCTGCAACTACAGGTACCTTACTGCAGTTCCGAAGTGTACGTGTAGTTATTATAAAATCACTTTAGTTCGTTGCATAATTACATGTGCGATATAGAATAGATATAAAGTGCGACTCATTCTGCGATCATTTTACAATACAATAGTAATATTGCTTTAGGAACTCCTCCGCTGGGGAACCAGATGCGTTTAGCATAGATTTTCGTAGAGAAAATTTTCGATGATTTACATCGAAACCATAGTCGAAACGGTAACATAACGAGCGAATTGCTGCAAATCGTGTTGTGTAAATGTTCCCCCCCCCCCGTTTTCCACTGACCTAATCTGTAGCTATACACGTATGAATGGGTTTAGAATTTTAATTATTTTAGTATATTCTTCGAACTTACTTCTTTATTTCTGTGCGAATTGTTTTCGTCCATAATAAAAACTTAACATTTTACTTGTATGAATTTACTTCATGAAATTATTACTTGTATATTTTACTTTGTAGAAAAGAAAAAGCATCGAACAATTAATTTCGACCGATGTAATATGATTTGAATCAATCGTTGAAACATTTTTCAATATAGCAATAACTTCGAATACTTCCGTATTTCTACTATAATTATTGTGTTGTAGTGGGTTACCAGTCGAAATATATCCAGAAAAATATTTGCGGTCAAAATATCTCCGACAAAATATCTTTGATTTCAAATATCTCCGTTTAAAAATATTAAAATATTTCTGATAGAAATATCTACCATGAAATAATTTAATGATATTTAAAAATATGTTAATGTTATCATAATATGTAATTTTTAAAATAAAATATTATTATTAATACAAGTACAAAATCGATGATTTATTACATAATCAATTGTATTTATAATACAGTGAGTCTTACGTGTATATGTTACCGGCAATATGGATAATCCGGTATTTTGCAAAATACCTAGGCATTTTACAAAATGCCAAAAATCACTCGGCAATATACATAATACGAGCTTTGCCTAGATATTATGTATAATGCCAATCGTGGAGTAAGTAATATGAAAAAAACTAACAAAATTGGACATCCTCTATACCAACGACTTTACTTATCGTTCATCATAAATGTGCGTTCACGATTTAACGCAATATTGATTAATATTCTTTTACTAACTACTATAATAATAATTCTAAGATACAATATTGAACGTACTAATAATTTTATTACAATATCGTAATTTTCTCGTCATTTTCGTGTCTCGTTTTGGTGTTGCAACTGTAGTATATGCATACGATTTATATGAAGTCAAATTTTTATAACAAACTACAATTTTATTTTAAAATTTGGCTACTTATACTAGTTTTTTATCTGATGAACAGTATAATGAGTTGATAAAAATTGAATCCACAAGAATTGGCCAAGGGTTTTTAAAATGCGTTTGTAAGTCCAAGTGTCAAAATAAAAAGTGTATTTGTCTTAAAAATAATATTTTGTGCACTTTAAAATGTCACTTTTCTACAACACGTTTTAATAAGTAAATACCTAGTGGTTTAAGTAAAATATTTATATAATAGTAATAATATAATAAAAGATTAAAATTAAATGTTGTCTATAATATGAGTAATAATGTATAGTAATTATAAAAATCTTAATGTAATATAACATATAATAAAATGTTTTGTACTTAACCTAAAAAAAAATTGGCATTTTGTATAATGCCTAGGTATTTTATAAAATACCTAGGTTATATGTAAAATAATATTGAAAATCATATGTTTTATTTACTTTGCCTAAAATGGGTCGGCAATTTTCATAATGCCTAGGTATTTTGCAAAATATCTGAATTATCCATATTGTCGGTAACATATGCAATAATGTTTGCAACAAAAACAAAAAATAATCCACAATAAAATTATAATAAAAATAAATAAAAACAATAAAAACTTACCACAAAATTATAACAAAAAATAAATATCACCATACAATTTAAGGCTGTGGGAGATTGAGTAATATAATTAAAAATTAAATAAATACATTTAATATGAAAATTAAAACTGAAGATTGTGGGCAATTCCCTTTAAATATTTCAGAGATGTAATTTTGTTTTATTTGATTAATATTGTGATTAGTTATTATTACTTGTGGGATTGTCTTATTATTCCTCCAACCGTTAAATAATATATTTATTTACCTACTTTTAATAATTATTGTTATAAAAACATTAATATAATAAATATTAAAATATTTTCATGGGAGATATTTCTACTAGAGATGTATTTAATGGAAACATTTTGTACCATATTTTTGCGGAGATATTTTGACCAGGAACCATTATATTAGGATGCGTACGATTATGCGATGCCTTTTTAGCCATCCGGCGCTACGGGGATTGTACGGAATGATATCGTTTCGCGAATTTTAATACTACACTCGGGACGGAAAATTGTGCAGTGGTAACAGGTACTACGTGCGAACGTTATTTATCAATACGGGGTTTGTTTATATTTTAAGTGTACCGTCTATTCCTGTCGCGCCAGTCAGCAGAAGACGACCTACACTCGGCAGTGTGATGGGACGACGCGAAGAGAAAACGATACTACACCTGTATAGGTAGTACACACAGTGCATTTACAATGTTGTCGGCAATCACGTATTCATATAACGCGGTGACATTCAGCGAAGTCTGAAAAAAGGTCGACTAAATTACGTGTAGGTTTTGCTACGATTTTGCTGTGCGTGGCGTGACATCGTGTCGGAAGTATCCGTTTGGCCATGACGTCCGGTGATTTTACATCCGATCGTTTTGTATAATTACGCAATTTACGCGTGGATACGACTGTATAAAATACGTTTTACGAGTTCGAGAAGCTCTTAAATGTTTCGCTGTGATTGTCACGCAAACGTATACGAGTTTACCTCGACATTACCGCTTCCGTTCAATGATGCGCTACCATTCCGGTTTTTTATGAATTTATTCCCACAAAACGTCGAAGGCTATCTTCACTTCCTCACACTTTCCTCGTTTCGATATCACGATTAGCGCAAAACGTTTTTCAAAATTTAAAACATTTAATATCATACAAACAGTGGCGTTTTTTTAAACTTTTTTGACGGAGGCTTATAATATTGTAAAAAATATATATAATGTATGAATATGAAATAATCTAATCCTGGAACACTCTCCCTCTCCTCAAAAGTACGTCGCTGCATACAAACAAATAATCAAATTAATCAAACGCAATGCTCTGTACGTAACTGTCCACAATAGGACTTTGAGAAAAAAATCCTAAAGTTATTACTGTCTGTCTTTTTTTAAATTTATTTGAACATTTTAAGTTATAGTAGTTTTTTTTTCTTTATAGTCGAAATCTATATGCACAATAATACATTTCTTAAAAAATTTGTTTATTTAGCATTGCTATTCCAATTACATATTTTTTTTAATAATATAATTTATGCGTT